TCAAAATCTTCAATTTTCTTAACCATTTCAGTAGGTGAAATGATGGTTGTCCATTAATCCATAAAATGTTCTTTGAAATCAGAAGTACGCTTTTTAATTTGATCAACCAGCATTAGATCTTTTAGCTGTTCAAAAGTTTTAATGTTTAATCCGTTAAACCATCCTTCTAAATAATTCTTTAATTCATAGTAGAAATCATACCAAGTACTTTCAGTAAATTTCAGTAAAATAGTTGTCGAAATTTTTCTGCACTCAATTTAAATCGTTGTAACAGTAAAGTTTTTACATATTGATACTTTTTCGCGTCCTCTTCTTGTTCTCTAGCAATAAGCTGAACAATGTCAGGAGGCAGCAATGAAATAAGTTGAGTCACTTGAATTTCAGCAGGTATATCCATTATTTTAGCTTGACGCTCAAACAAAACCAGAAATAAACTTATTTCATCTTCTTTAGGGTTGAAACGTGGCATGACATCGTGAATTCTGATTTTTAAAGGCTGCTCAGGTAACTACGTAGTTTCTATCAGCTGTGCTGTTGCAGCCATTGCTTCCAACTGAAGTTTCTGTAGCTCAAAGGCTCTAATTCGCTCTTCTTTTCTTTCTTCTCTTTTGCATTCTTTTTTTCTTTCTCTTTCTTCCCTTTCGCGTTCCTTTTCTCTTTCTTCTCTTTCGGGTTGTTCTCTTCTTTCTCTTCCTTCTCTTTCGCGTTCTTTTTCTCTTTCTTCCCTTTCGCATTCTTCTTTTCTTTCCCTTTCTTCTCTAATTGCAGCCAGTAGTTCTCGAGTAAACTCCTCATCATAACCAGAACTTTCAGTAATCAGTTTATGCAACTGAGCAATCTTAAATTCAGGTTTTACGGTTAAACCTAAATCTTCTGCTAGTACTTTTAAATCCCGTTTTTTACTCCTAGCTAAGAATGACATGTTGACACAAATTACCTCTATTAGGCTTCCTTTTGAAATTGGATCTAAAAGATCATACTTGTATTAAAAATGTATAATATCTGGCGAGACTTAATTTCTCAAACACGAAATTCACACTAACCAACTGGAGAGAATTATTTAAACAACTTCGGAGGGTTGGCTTAAAATAATATAATACTACGTCGGGTTGACGTTTTAACTCACTATTCACCAGTTTCGTTAGCTATAACTATATAAACACATTTGCCAGTTAGGCAATACAATGGAATTTTACCCACGTCAGTTTGACGTTTTTACTATCTATCTCCACACCTGGTTGGCGATTACAAAAACAATTTTTGCCAGTTTGGCAATACAACTTTTACAATATACAATCTGTAATGCGTCAGGATGATGTTACTATCTACTACATGCCTGGATTGCGAGAACTAAGAAAAATCTTTTGCCAATTCTGCAGTATAATCAAATCACACTACGTCAGTTTGACATAACTACTTATTTTCCATTTGCTTGCTTGGCAACAAATTCAAAAACTCAGCTAGCAGTTCTTTTTTTCTTTTTTATAGATGCCAGGATGACGTGCATATATCAATTATCAACAAAAAAATTCAATACAAATAAGAGTAAAGGCTAAATAATAATTTAAAATACTTTTCTACTACAAATATCAATTATAAATTTAAGCTGAATATTTTTAATGTCAGTTATTTTAAATAAAATCTTACATGATATAACTATAATTCTGAAACAAAGTATTAAAATTCAATAAAAGCTTATTTAAGAAAACCAAAAGTTAATCTTATCTTCAGAGATCATTAATATCCTGTTCTGTCAATTCTTTGCTGTGACACAAGCTATAGAAATACACAAGATAACCTTTGAATGATCTGCTTCAAAAATCTGGGTTTAAAACGGCAGACTTCTGACATACATTTCTCCTTGAAATAAACTTCAATTGGTACTACCAAATTTGTTCTAAAAAATTTCAGCAACTTTCTGGGATTAAGAGACCAGCACCATCGAAATTGATAATTGCACTCCTAATTTCCAGTATCTCGGTAGAACCTCCAATTAATTAAGACTGTAATGTATTTTGCAGTAATTAACAAAACAGGCAATCTTCTTAGTAGAACATAAATTTTATTTCTAGTTCATGGTGATAGATAATTTGAAGAAATTCTTTAGTGGCAAAACTTTTATACTACTACTAGCTGGTAAAAACTTCAGAATCTTAATTTTTAAAACAATTTCTCACGTTTCTGATCAACGGTTACATAATATATATATGACGTTGCCACTTCAACAATAAATATAGTTATTTATTAAATAAAAAGATATTATACCCTTATGAACAGAGTCAGTTTCAATTTCAAAATCTTCGACATTGGGGTCAATTCAACATTCACCCAAACTGTGGTCCGGCATTTACCAAAGAGGATAGTTCTTTGAAAATTGGCACTGGAAGTTCGACTGAGTGAGGCACTGAGCATATAGCTGATGGTAAATTATTATATTCTATTTTCCATTCTTTTATTACATTCTGATGTTTTCATTACAGAAAAATAGCAATCACTTGAGTGATTATTGGGCCTCGTCAAATCATAGGTATACCAAATGGAAATTCAGAATCATGAGCCCCTTACAAAGTGTGCAAGCAGCGTGTCGATAGTTTGCAGATACCATCATCCACATCTGCAAACTCTTGACACACTGCTTGCTTTGAAAGACCTTCGGGAGGACTTCCAAAACAACCTGAGACCTTTGGGTCACTTTGGGAGGAGACCATGATCTCGTTGACCATGATCGTTATCTTGATCACAAGTTTTTGCTTTAAAACAGGAAATATAGGCTTGTCTGACAAATGTATTGATGTTTATCTATTGACTGGAAATGGTAAAACTGCCACACTTTTAACAAAACGAAACCAGGGCTGTTTAAGCACTTATAACATGAACTAGCAAAGGCACACAGAAGGAAAGGTTTTAGTTCATATATAAATAAACACTAAACAATGCTAATCTTGTAAGACTTGCACTCCATATTGGAATGCACTTCATATTAACACACAATGTTGCAGTATAGTATCTCACACATAACTGAAGCAGTCTAGTCAAGTATGCATCTGCCACTGGTATCCTATGGCGTCATTCTTTTGGCACCAAATGGAGGGTTTATGTCAGACAATAAGAGAGAAGTTTTACTTTCTATGATCCATGCTTGATGCCACTAAGAGTGGTCACATTCACATAAGGTGTAGAGAAAAAAAACTCAACATGGTAGAAGAAAACTAACTATAGTTTTGAAATCAACTAACTATTTAACTCTAAATTAGCTCAATCTTGAACTCAACAGAAAATTGTGTTACAACAGTGTTATTATTATGTCTAATTAATTTACAGGAAATGCATTCGTGGGCCATGTAATATTGTTTTGGGGTGTGCAGGCTGCAGTTTGAAACCACTAACTTACAATATCATGAAATCAGCTTGGAAGAAATATGCCGAAAATGTCTTGCATGCAGAAAACCATAGGCATGGAACTTAATCATGAAGCTATAAAGGAGATATTACAGAAATATAAAAATGAGTTCAGGCAAGAAGAACTGAAGTGACAAAAACTAAATATGTCTTCAATATCTTTAAAGGAGGAAGAAGGAAGGGAAGATGATTTTAATTCTTTGATCCAGAAAAATGGTACAAATTGAGATAAACAGTAAGGTTTCATGGAATAAAATCACCTTGACAGAGCAGTTGCAAGAATGCAGAAATTACTTATACTACATAAATGACAAAAAATGCAAAAATGACAGTGAGAAATGAAGTGACCACAAATTGAAAAAACACAAAAATAATTTTTAATGAGATAGAGGTGCAATGAGCTTCAAGCTGAGTTGAGTTGCATTTAGAGAAAAAGAAGAAGCCTAAGAAGGCATGATGTTTTTGTGGAAAAAGACTCTCCATCCAAATGATAACATATTTCCCCTTTCTTTCCCTCACCACCTTCCATTAATATACCATCAATTCTCCTTCATGCAGGCATGATAAAATTAAATAAAGTTTTTGTCTATTTTTTGTTTGGCATTATATTTACTTTTTGTTGCCTTACAATTAATGATTTCCATTTCATAAACTTTTACACAAAGTGAAAATTTATGTAAACAATCAATCTGTGGTCCAGGAATGGATTTATCTATTTCATACGGTACTTATGTATTAGCACAATCAACAATTATGTATTGGTGAATTTTTCAGAAGAAAAAGAATGATGATATGTAAAAAGTAATAAATATACTTATAAATAATAATTTACTTATAAATGTAAAAAGTTATTGGTAATGATGTAGTACGTGATCTACCACTTTTATTTATTTAATTCTTAGAATAACACAATTTTTAAACCTGAAACTAAATAGAAATAATAATAAAAAAATGTGCGGGTTTTGATTTCTTTTGTTCTGCTGAAAATTTTCTGGCAATCATTTTGAGAACAGATTCAAAGGAAGTTCCCTTCTTAGCAATTTTGCAGCAAAATAGTGTATTTCTGGGAAAATGTTACCACAGTTTTTAACACTGTAAGCAAATTGCACAAGCATATATTTAAAAACTCTGTTTCAGACAAAAAGTATCACAATCTTGGTATAACATTATTGGAATCTGGAAGACAACAACAAGAACACATATGAAAATGGTGACATTTGTTGTTAAAACTGAAGAATTTGCATGTAAAGAATGTTACTCTTGCAATTGTCAGAGTTTGAACTTTGGTAATTTTTACTAAACTAATTGTAATAACAACTATGACCATTTACATTAATTCCAACAGAGAAAATAGTATCAATTTAAAAGTCTTTTGGGTGAGAAATGACATTCAGGAATGAATTACATTTGACAACTGAGGTTTCGCTGCATACATAATACTTTATGAAGGTAATGCAAATTCAATTCAAAGTAAAAAATATAAAAATACATTAAATAATAGAAAATACTTCATTTTAAATTATGTATTCCCCCCAAAAAAATACTACTGAAAGTGCAAATAATAAATTATTAAACATTTTTATTACTGCATACTCTCTTACTTTTTCTTGGGATTCTCCATTCATCATTGTGCTAGTGGATGGCACTTCATTTAACTGCAATTCAGAAATAACATTATTTTCCACATTGTTATTGGAATCGTTTATGCCTCTATCCATCATAGGTTCCACTTTCATTTCGTCATCTATCTGAACATCTTCCTTCAGTTTAGAACTTTTATCTTTTGTTTTTTTCGAATCGTCTGTTTTGTGCTTTGTTCTTTCACGAGACTTTTCCCTGTCTTTTCTCGAGTCTTTGGGTCTTTCCTTTGTTTTTTCCCCATCTTTACTCTTGGTTGTCTCTTTGCTTTGATTAGACACAGAGCTCTTTTTTGCAGGATCAATGGTTTTGGTCAGAGAACGAGTATGAGCTTTTTCATTTGCTCCTTTCTGGAATTTTTTCCCAAATTAGTTACAGTTCAAAAGACAATTGTTATTATATAAATGCAACACAAAAATAACATACATAACACATTATGTAATATATACAACAACAAAAAACATAATTAGAAGAGATTATTTGGATCAACATAAATTTTACATTAAAGTCGATGAAATATACAAATCAAGCCTCATTATCAGGTCATCCAGATAAAAAAAAAAAAAAATCGCTTTATTTATTACAACAGATCCTCTTTTTGTCCCTGCCTCACTTCCTATACATTTTTCATATAATGTATATCAGTAATGTTCTGTTTTATATAACGTATATTAGTCCCAACCTCTTTTGGGTGTCCTGATACCAGATAGCAGGTCGCATTCAGACACTTGGGAAGAACGAAATTATTCATTCTCCAAAAGAAAGGGAGGTTTATTTTTCAGCCAAAATTTTTCTTTAGACTGCAACTATATTCTTACTACCCAAAAGTCTTACACTCAAAGGATCAACATTACATCGAACCGACACTGAATGAGGCCACATGGCACAGGATCAACAAGGATATAAATTAACTGTTATTGTATTTCTCTTGTGTTTTGAAAAAGTGATTTAAGTCTGAGATCTGCTTTCTACAGAACAACAAGCAGTGCATTATTTTCAAAATTATGGGAATCTACCATAAAAAAATGAAGTGGATTTTAAAGGAGCCAATGTCGCCAGCTCAATATGGCCAACAAAAGAACAGTAGGCTGGTAGAATTACCAGCAGGAAATTTATACTAACAGCATTTTAAGTATAGCTTCTGGTAAAATCGAAGAGCCTAATAAAAATAGTAGAAATCAAAGAAAGTCTTTTTACAAAGTGATCACTTCATGATCGTGAAAGCTTTTCACAAAATACGAAAATCAGCAAGTTGAATACTGATTATTTATTAAATAAAGAAGTGTAAGTTCCTTCAGAATTCTGCAGGGATGATGAGCACAACTTTGGAAGAATCTCTTCCAGTTTTTATAATTCAATGATAGCCAAATTTAAAAGTGAATGGGATAATATGCAGACCAATTTCCTCCAGAGTTTCAAATACGAGTGCAAGGAAATGTATCAGAAAACATCAATAAAAGGTTTATAAAAGTTTGGATGTTGTAAAAAGATATACATTTTTTATACACATTCTGTTATAACTGTGTAGGGTTTTACCTTTCTCAACACGCTGATGTCTACGTCCTGATTTTTCCCTCTGGCGCATTCATACTAAAAATCTCGACTTGCAAAAAGAACTATTCCTTTCTGTTTTACAAGTTCATTTTCACACTCTGTTCATTCCTGAGATTAATATTATTCTAATGCTATGTATTTATTTTGATTTATTAAATGTATTTATTCTGCACAAACTGATGTTTAATAATTACCTAAAAACCTCCAAACTGGAGAATTTGAACGTTAAGAACACATTTTTAGTAGTTTGAACATGATAGTAAATGATGAAACCATTGTTTCAATGCAAGCACCTGAAATCAACAGAATTTCTGTTAAAGTGCCATTCTGGAAAAACAATCCAAGTACACGGTTTCTAAAAATTGAAAGCTACTTCATAAACAGTGGGATAGCTGCCAAAACCACAAAATATATCATGGTGCAATACACTGAGACCAACATATTAAGTCAGGTCAGTAAGATAATTGATCCTCCTTCAGTTATTGATACATATGAAACTCTTACAATAAGGCTAACTGAAATTTTTGGACTCTGAAATTTAAAAAAAAAAAAAGAGAGAGAGAGAGATTCACCCAGCTGGTTTACTCTGACAAATGCATAAATTGGCTGAAATTTTGTCGGAACCATATTATTAAAATTTTTGTGGCTTCAGTGTCCTCCAGCCCAGATGCAAACCATGCCTCTTCTGGTATCGAATTTAAAACAAATTAGCAAGTATGGTTGACAAAATCTCTGACACCACAACTCCTGGTCAGCTTCATGCCATGTAAATCAAACTGAAAGTAACTAATGCTAATGATATAAGTGACGCTTTAGATAATTCGCAGAAACAAATATCCGATTTCAATAAAAAAGTAGATAAACTCTTTACATTGTATTCTCGCATTCAATCTCACTTTCGGGATCGTTCTAATTCTAGATCTAGATTCCTGCCCATGAATAAACAAAATGAAAAAACTTCCATGTGTTAGTACCACAGCAAGTTTGGTGAGAAAGCCATTAAATGCAACAATCCTTGAAAATCTAAAGTGAGAAACTAGAAGACCATGTGTAGCAGCAAATGATACAGGCAATGCAAATTTGCTTCAGAACGCATAAATTTTTTAGGCCATTTTATCCCCAAAATTGAAATTACTCTCTTACCAGAAAAAAAAAAAAAAAAAAAAAAAAAAAAAAAAAAATAAAGTAATTCAAGATTTTTTTAAATCAAAAACTGTTAATGAACACAGATGTTTTGTAGGAATACTTAATTTCTGTAGGCGATATTTAAATCTCAGTACTGATGCAGTTCAACTTCTTTTAAACAGAAAGTTGGAAAGTTGTAAGAAAAATGGCCAAACACCCTTAGATCACTAGACAGATGGCAGTTGGTTTAGGATGAATTAGTACGAAGTGCTTCCGAGTTCTGTAAACAGCTTTTCACACAAGCTACAAATTTAATGCATCAAGATCCAAAAAAAGAAAACTGACCTTAAGCGCAATGCCTCAGAAAAAGCCCAAGGGTTCCAGCAACTTAACATACAAACTTGGGAATCACTATGGTTCATCTCATGAAAACTATGTGATATTGTACAGAAATAAACATAATACAGATATATGATACAGATGTCATTTTGGTGATATTTGCCACTAATCATTACTTCAGATATCTGCTTGAAGGTACGAACTTTACAGTGTTCACAGATTATAAGACATTTACAAAAGCATTTTTTCAAAAGTATGACAAACTCTCCCTTTGATAAATTGATGAATTTAATTTCATAGGTCAGTTCTCTATTGATATTCAACATCTGAGTGCTGCAGAAAATGGACTAGCCAATGCTCTTTCTCGCTTCGAAATGGTTACTAATCTAATTCCTATTAACTATGACTCTATGTTGCAAGCGCAACAGAGTGACACCATACTCCAATCCTTTTTAAACAAAGAAAATTCAGTTGTTCAACTAAAGAAGTTAAAAATGCCTGAGAGTTTCACAGAACTACATTACTAGATTCCAACTGATAAAATCTGTCCTTTTGTTTCAGACAGTCATAGAAAAATTGCTTTTTTTAAGCTCTGCATAACCTTTCTCATTCTAGACCTAAAGCAATACTGAAGTTGCTCAGTGACAAATTTGTCTTGCCTGGAATGAAAAAGGGTGTCATGAAATTCGCTAAAACTTGCATCAGAATTCAAGAATGTCAAAAGGCTAATGTACCTTGTCATGAATACTCTTAATTACTTTTATAGTTCTAGATGAATGTTTTTTGCATATCAAAGTAGATTTGATTGGACCTCTTTTCTCATCTCAAGGAACGTTTTACTGACTGACATGCACTGACAAGTATACTCGTTGACCTAAGCCTATCCATTGAAAGATATGCAGGAAGAGAACGATGCCATTCCTCTTTATGCAGGCTGGATCTCTAATTTTGGTGTACCTGCGCAGATCACAACTGATTGTGGTAGTCAATTTCAAAGTGAGCTCTTTGGAGAGCCAGATAAAAACTTTGGTATCACTGAATCTATCAAGTGTGGCTCAAAATTCCACAGGAACAATTGGTACAATTTTGGCAGGATCTTGAGCAACATTCATGGTTACACGATAAGATAATTCTTAAGTACTAAATATTTTGCTGATTTGTACCCAAAAAGGCCTATTCTTACAACAGCAGAAAACAGTTACTCAAGGATGACCTCTTAAATGAGGTCTGACAGTATCTACTGAAAACATATTGTTCTGATCTGATTGGTACAAAATTTATGGCAGTGAGGAAATTTTTTTTTTTTTTTTTTTTTTTTTTTTTAGAGGGAGCTAATTTTTTTTTCCCATATTGGTATGCTTCTCTTGCAGACATACCTAAATTTTTATTTCAAATAAAACTGGAGTTAAATAAGAGCATCAAAAACATATACTATACATTTAAAAGCAGATTGATTTAAAATTGAATCTCAAGGCATGAAGGAGAAAATATTTAAAATATTTCATATTCTGCCCCCTCAAATAAAAAACATTCCCTTATATTTTATATAGTTCCAACAAAGGGAAAGTATACAGGTGTAAAATGAAATCTACACACCTAGCAATATATGCCTAGTTTAAACTGACATTCTAATACTACATAATTACGTCATGTTTTGTAGAACATATGCAAAATCAGGATATGACACAAATATAGCACATTAGTAGAACATGTTATGCTAATATTCCATATCTATCAACTTTGAAATACGAATAACTGAGAGTTTCTACAAGGTTTTCATGCCGCATGATTACACTACTTCAAAAAAACTCGAAATTGACTTAAATTCTTTTCATGATACATGACTCAGGTTACTCAACTATTTTTAATATGTGTTATGTAGAAAAAATGTCTGAATTTTTTCGCTAAGAAAAGAAATAAGGGTAATTGTAATTATTTGGGAAAACTGGAATTATTCTAATCTATTTTGTTTCTTTGTGCTTTGGGGTTAATAGTTTTATTTTGGTATTTTTCCCTAAATTATTGATCTGAAAACTAGTGCTTCAATGCTAATTTTTGTTTGCTAAATTTAATTGGAAAATTTGTGAAATAGGGAAATAATTTGTACATGCAAAATCAGGAGAGTTAACGATGCAGATTTTTGCTGTGTCATTCTATTCTGCAAAATACAGGAAGCGGAGAATGTTCTCGAAGCTTTATCCATTGTTTCTTATCTTAAGGGGGGTTAGTGTATGTGTTGTCTTTCAGTAAAGGGTAAATGTGAAGTTCCGCGAGGAGGTAAACAAGTTTCGGCGAGGTGGTGTCCACTGTTGGCTACTAGTTTGACTAGCTGTGCTTGTGCAAAAGGTTGTTTTTGACTGATTTAGCAGAATAGTGATTTTAATCGTGTTTAGGGAATGCAAAATTCATAATTTCTGGTATCCTGGTTTTTGTGTGATCATGCGTAGGATTTCTGAGCGTTAGCCACTTGTTCCTTGGCTGTTAATGGTGTAGTAGCTTCAGTTATGCTCCCTGACTGTTCTTACCATTGGAAGTTTGGACAGTCAGACTTGATAAGCGATTGCTATGCCAATCAGGTAAATGTAGCTTTGGTGGAGCAGATGTTTTAGACACACTTGGTGTTAGGTGTAGTGTCGAGATGAATTTTTCTTCTACTTGAATCCAGTGGAGAGGTGTATGAATTAAATTTTATGAGCTGTTGAATGCTCAGCCAAAATTTTATGTGGAGCCTAGCATGAAATTAGTATCATCTTGTGGCACGTGTAGTCTGACCATATGAGCCAAGGAAGAGATGTATTTTCACCGAGTCTGAAAGCCTGGAGCATCTACTTGTGAAATGCTAATATAGGCACAGAAATGTTTCAGGAGAGTTTCCCATCAATATTGGTAACTAAGTGTTGTGCTAGTTATACCAGTGTGAAATATCCCAAATGTTCTTCATACACATCTAATCACTGTGCTTCCCGTATGTGTTTCAACACGGCGGATCTGGCGATGCCTCTTGACCTTTTTCCTGGACTAGACATCTCAACCTCGTGCGTCTTCCTTCAAATGCTCTCATCAGGTTTTTTCTGGAGGAGCCGGATTCTCATAGGGAGATTTTTTTTATACAGCAGAATCGCCGGCCTAGGCTTTGTTCCCAACCCATCGAAGGACCTGTTTTCATCTTAGCACTGGGCATCATCAGCAAGATTGGTTCTCCTACATAAGTTTCTTTTCTTTCTTTTTTTTAATTGTCTTAGTTTACATCTAATCTGATTAACTGTTAAAGTTTTGTATGAATGAGCAGCTGGAATTTTCTTCACTATCTTTTCTTGATGTCGGTATCTTTGACATTAAATTAACTGTTAGCTTGAAATGAACTGTTAGACAGTTATTGAAAATATCATAAAAATATAAGTAGATGTTCAAGTAGCTTAATTTATTAGAATGAAGTGATAATGCTAGATAAATGTAATCAGCTTTTCTGTGCCAGGAAAGAAACTGAATACCCCTTACTTATGTGGAGATATGATTTTCCTTAATATATGTTCTTTTTATTTTTGTTACATAATAGTTAACCTAGCACATAAAGTTAAATTGAATAAACAGATTAATTACTTAAATGCTCCGTTTATCATTTTGTCTTTCTTAATACGGTTGTTCACAGAAGCACGAGCCCTAAGATAACACAATGCATTTGTCCCATAACATTCGGTCTTAAATTTGAGTTTGTTGAAACCGACCTAAATATAGATTATAAGTTTAAATTAGAATTACGAAAAATACGTTTCTGGTAATTTTCAAACCATCTGAGATTATTTTTTTCCTAAGTCAGTGCCATGGTCGTACAGAACATACGATTCTGATGGAAAAAAAAGAATTTTACCTTGTTCTCTATCTTATTTCTTTTCATTACTTTTGCCAGAAATTTTAAAAATAGATTTACATGCTTTCAAATTAAAAGTTAGTAGCACTGTCTAACCATTTCATAGCTTACTAGCAGTTTTTTTGCCTTCAGACTAATTATACTGCCTTTATAAATCTGGCAACTGAAAAGAAATACACTAATCCTTGAAATTTTGAAAAAAAAAAAAAAAAAAAAAAAAAAAAAAAAAAAAACACCATTAGTTAGTTGAGCTGTTCTTTGTACTGAAGTAAGATAATATAAACTTTCGAATCGAATAATAAAAAAAGGCCAGAAAAAATTTTTAAAACAAATTTCTGGCCTTTTTTTTTTTTATTATTTTACATATGACCCTATTCATTTAATTGAATATTTTTGTAACAGAGTATTCTTCTTTTTGTAAACATTTTATTTACATGTTTGGATATCTTGAATTTATTATTATTAAATACTTAAGTAATTTTCTTTCACTTTTTTCGTTTTTAAAATACTGTATTAAAAAAATTTACATCATGTAGGGTAATTCTCAAACATGCCTACAGGTTTGCTTATTTTGGTACATTGATTATTAGATGAATAAAAAAAGTTCCTTTAAATTGCATATACCTGACAAGGACAAAACACAATGTCTGAACAATTAGGGAGAGAGATAAGCTAATTCACTCTCATAAGTCGGCTTTGTCTCACTGACCTTTCAAATGTTCATTTTCTTTTAATCCTCAAATTTTCATTTGATTTGCATTTAAATAAAAATCGCTTTACTACTACTATTAGCTAATGCTTGACAGACAATTTTTCTTTTTACTTCCATTCTTCACTTCTTTATGTTCATTTTATATTTTTTACAAATTAGTTCTTTTTAAATAAAATTTAGACTTTTGATAGGAGCATTTCCATTTGAATACTATTTAATTATATATTCTAAACTATTTGTTTTATAGCTAATTTCTTTCTGCAATTTTCTTACATGTTTACACAGAAAAAAATTTTGAGTTGTGAAGGAGAGATTTATTTTATTTATGAATGTACTTTTAAACACAATAAAGATAAAATAAATAATTATACTATTGTGTGGCTAAACATAGCTATGTATCATACTCATTTGGAGCAAAATTAAACACAAACATTAACTTATTAAACACTGATTGAATCTTCATATACATTTCCACAAATATTTACAGTAGATTAAAACACTTCAGAACAAATCAAATCGAATGAGAAAAATTATGCTGAAAACCACTAAAAGTAAATGATTTAAATTTCCACAATTTCATTAATCCAATGCATTTCATTTATTGTTTGGTACTTACATATCACCCCATCAGCCATGAAAGTGTCACCAGGCACCAAAATTTAGCAACAGTTATGGATATGCATCATGTCACTACATACTCATAACATCTGCACTTTCATCTGATGTAATTTTTATCGAATCTCTGTAAGCCCTCTTTTATTTCTGTTAAGAAGGATATAAATTAACTATTATTGTTGTACAGTCAAAAGTCGTTAATTCGGACACCCATATAATCCGGACGTCAAAGCTAAAAACTTTCTGTGCATGCGCCGTGTTGGCACATGCGCACAGGCGTTTTATGCGCGCGCATAAGACCTTCACTACTGCGCATATGCGTGTGCGCATGTGCAGAATACGTTTTCGCCTGCACGTTTAATGTATAAAGGACGGGTAAGCTAAAATTATCTAATTATATATTTCAGTTAATGTTAATGATTGCGTTGTTCCTTAAACTTCGAATTGGATCCCGCTTATTATTTTTTGCAGACTGTAAGAGCAATTTTATAAAAGTAAACTTGAACTTTCGATTATGTCAAATAGAATTTCCGATGCTGGAACTTCCAAAGGATCTACAAAACGAAAGTATGTTTCGATGTCCAACAAACAAAAAGTGGAATTGCTGCAAAAAATGGATAAAGACATGAAGAATGTGACAGAGAGGTTAGTGAAAACGAAAAAATTTCGATTGACAAGTTAGTCGGTATTCTCGGCACAGCAATTAACGGGACTTGAACAGCGGAACTTTGCAACTGAACAAGAAATTATGTCTGTTTATAGAATTAAAGAGAAAGCATTATCACATAAAACGAAGGAACTTAAACAACTTACATTGAAAGAAATGTTTAATAAAGTAAACAAGTAAATATTAAGCTTTTTGTTTGTAAATTGTGATACCCTTTAGATCATAATTGCTCTTTATTTCATAAATTACGATTTCATATTTTTAATTTTAGAATTTCTGCATGCCATCTTACGAGATTTAAACTGATGATCTATAATCCGGAAAAATCGATAATCCGGAATCGAAGTTCCGATGAGTCCGGATTAATGACTTTTGACTGCATTTACTTCTGGCATTTTGAAGAACATGAGTTAAAGGGGTGCAGAATCATATTTGTGACTACACTCCAGTATATTACAGCTCACCAAAAGAATTAACATTTTGAATGCGAAAAGAACAGCTAGCTGACAAAACAACAATAGATTGGAACAATTATTTGCAAAATGTTTGTACTCATAGTGTTTTAAACATAGCATCTGGTAAAATTCTGGAGCAAACTGTTGCTCAGTTATACTTTATATAAAGTTTTAAATTTATGAAAGCTCTGAATTATTTACATATTTAAAAATAAAATTTGGAAAAGATTTTGATTTTACAGGTTCTACTGATTAAAGAGTCTATATTTCCCAAATCTGGAAATTCTGAATTTGAGAATGTAAAAAATCTGGATCTGGTTATATCTGGAAGACAAAAAGGCCTCAGGACTGAATCCTGTTGTCAAACATGGAGGTGAAGGTTTAAGTCTGATGTTTTGCAACCTTTCATAGAGAAAATTTAGTTGTTATGGGAAACCCCCCCCAAAATTCTAAATTCATACCTGGGGAAAAAAAAAAAAAAAAAAAAAAAAGAAAGAAAGAAAGAAAGAAAGAAAAAGAAAAGTAATAATAATTATAATAAAAAAATAGAAATAAAATAAAATACCTTAAATAACTTTCATATCCCAAATAAAAGTATAATGTTTTCAATTTCAAAAAAAAAACTTCTACTTCACCTCCAAAATCATAGTTATTAAAAGCACCTAAAACAATAAGCTATTTATTAATAAAGTATAAGAAATGCTGATCTTACTGCACGTTTATCTACAGACATTCGACGTTCTTTCGGCACTTTTGTTGGTGATCCCTGTATTTTTTCATTCAATACTTTTTCTACAGCTTCTTTGCTATCAAGCTGAAAGAAAATTATTAAATGTTCATTTAAAGTATGTTATAGTTGTGTGATATAGATATTATATTACACAGATATTTTCCCATTAAGGGAGCAGCAGTTGTCTCAAAGATAAATAAATAACATTAAATAGTAAAAACATCTTTGATGGTATATTCAAGATGTGTTGTTGCTTAAAGGCATGACAGTACACAAATATTTGAGAAAATTTATGAAATATTTGAAAACATAAAAACAGGTTCTTGAAATATATCATTTTATTGAACCAATTCCAAGTTCAGAATTCTTTCTTCACTTGGCATGATCAATAGTTACAGCCCTATTCAATCTTGCAGTTAACAGAATAAAATTTTTCACTATAAATAATTCCTTCTTCCTGAAAGAATTTAACAGTAACTTCCTTGGCGATTTCTAAATCATAAAATCCGTACAGGTTTCCTCATCAAAATCATCTACAGCACTCAAGATGATATATAAATTCAAGTCTTATACTCATGCTAATTTTAGAAAGAAAAATGGGTACTTTCTGATTATCGCTTCCATGCCAAAATGTTACAAATGTGCTAGCAATTTCGAAGAGAAATGTATATTTAGGTATCCTTACATCTATTTTAATGATGTATCCAATGCCCTCATACAACTGTAACATACTTTAAGTGAACTCAAGTGAACATATTTTCATATCCTTCTTTTTCCATACAAGATGCACACAATTCTTGGCGGTAATTACACCAGTTGATAGTAGTGTTTTTCATAGAATTTCATGTGTATATTCCTCTGTCCAACAACAAAGCAAACAACTGTCATAAACAAGATATGGTCATCTTCTAACCAATTTTTGACTCGCATTCTAACAATTTGCAATTTTTTACACTGGATTTCCATAAAATTTTGTTGTTTAAAAAGTACACTGCGAAAAAAAAAGGGGGACATTTCTATCTCTCCCATTCTACTGGGTCGATTAACGAAATTCAAATTGCGTTTTTCATGTCTTGAAAGCACAACTTGGGATATATATTACATTTTATATGTAGCACTATTCAAACATAGGTATTTTGACACAAAATCGGACTTTTTCTGAAATAACATACCAAATTTTTTACATATTTTGATTCTACAACTCAAATTATGCCTAAATACTATTAAATTTTGTAAAATTTGCTGCGAAATTTACGGAGAAATTAAAAAATTTACGTTGCCACTTTTTTTCAGTTTGTGCCAAGAATAGTTCATTTGGCGAACTTCTTAATATATGGCAACCTATTTTCCTTTCACTTTTTACATTGTGCGTGAGCAGAAGAAAAGTGACTCTGTTTCTTCTTTCAAATAATGTTCTTTATATTATATTTTTAATTATAATTTTTATTATTTTAAGTAATTTTTTTTCTTTTTTGAAACTAATTTTAATTGTTTTGCATAGTTTTTCTCAACCATTTAAAAATGAGCAATGGCAGCACTCTACCGGGGGGGGGGACCTTTTTATCTCCTGTGTGCGGAACTGTGTATCGGAAATTCTAAAGATATGCTCATTTTAAAATCATTTTGTGACATTGCTGTTGAACTGAATTTTATGGCTTAAGTGCAAAGAACATGATATTTAATAAATAAAGCTAACACACAAAACATTAAAAAAAAGGGGGGATTTAAAATCCGAAAACGTTCAGATTTTAAAAAATTTTTTCAAATAGTTTTCTTTATTCTATATTTTTTATTTTTTAGTCATAGTTATTATTTTAGGTAATTTTTAAATTTTTAGACTTTATTTTTAATTGTTTATGTTGCATTGTCTCTTCAGATAATTGTTTTAAAATTTTCTATTCAATCATTCGAATTGCACATTTTAAATATATTTACTAATATAATTTTTTTAGAATTTTATTTTATTTATTTGAATTGTGTTTCTTTCGGAAAAATACTCTGTGGCCCAGAATAAGGTGCATTTGAAAACTGCATATATTAAAAGAGAAAATACAGTAAAGCACAGTTAACATGCCTTTTAATGTTTCGTTCAGAAAAGATATATAAATAAGAGAGATGTATATCCGACATTTTAACTTAGGATGACTTGCATACATTGCTTTAGCCAGTTTTATCATTGCTTTATACAATTTTATCTTCCTACATTTAGTTTCTTAAGATGTTAGTCATATTTTAGTCAATTTTTTTTTTTTCAGATCGCAAGAATCAAATATCACAAAATTTAAAAAATTTTAATTAAACAAAATACTAAATTTTATGCAAAAATTTATTTTTTCTTCTTATTGGCTTGCTCTTTTTTTTTCAGGCATTCTGCAAGTAGAATATTACTAAAAGCATCCAACTTTTCAAAACATCTTGCTATTTCTGACATTTTAAATAAAGTTATTGCCTTCCATTTCATAAGGGCCCACAAACTGTTGAGTGGTTAAGGTCGCTGAACACTGGCAGTTCACTCCGGAGTTCAAATCCTGGCAAACGGGCTGATTGCTTGGGCGTTTTCATGATTTTTCTCATGTGTAATGTGTATATGAGCTGGTTTTATTTAGAAAGTTCTTTGTGAAGGCACTCCTCCTCTTAGGCAGATAGCCCTGCTTTGCCTTAATAATCCAATTCAATCCATTTCATCAGTATCTGGTCACAGCCTTTATCAGTCTTTAGAGGGTTGGCATTTTGAAGGCATGAGATGAAAGGAAAGACTGGTTTTATCAAGAGGGAAAACGTCTTTAGATTAATCTTAAGATTTAAGTCCTTGGATAAATTCCCGAATCTTCAAATAATTCGGCTGAGAAATCATGGGATGCTCCATTTATGATATGATATGATGTTCTATGACAAAATTTTAATTCATACAACCATATAGTCGAAAAACCAGTCCCTGTTCTCTTTAATCTGCAATGATATCGTTTTTGTCTTACCGATATCTGCCAGCACAAACTCAATTGCTGCTACTTGCTGGTGTACACATCCAAGTGTTTTCTCTTTGAACACCTAACTTCCTTAAAGTAGGTTACCCTTTAAATTTTTACTTTTTTCCCCACTAATTTCCTTCTTTTCTTCTACATTTGTTTTCAGAGCTGACACAAGAAAAAAAAGATATTTCAATTGTTGCATTCTTGACAAATTTTTTAAAATATCATTTGCATGAAATGCGTTTCAGCTGAAGCCTGCTTTTCATTTTCTAGACATTTTAACTATAAATGAAGTTTAAAGCAAAGTCGAAAAGATAAATGTTAAAAGATTTAAATTAAAGAATTAAAAATTTTTTGTTAAATAAGGAAGAAATAAACCACTTCAGCAGTGCTTATCCTGTATCACCGAGTAACCTGATTCTTATATCGGTTGCAAACAATCTAAATCATATTATTTAGAGTTTTTAAGCTTAATAATTTCTATATTAAAGAGCATGTTTTTTATATAATATATAACACGAGAGAAAATTACTACTTAAAACATTTTAAGAGAATTAATGTAAAAATTTGTATTTATATATATATTTTTTTAAAGCTGGGACATGACCCCAAACTGTCAACTTTCTGTTTGCTTAAAAACATTGTGAAAATAAACATCAAACAAACTTTCTCAATTTTAGACAATTCAATTTAAATGAAGTTAAAGTAAAGCAACACACGATAACACGGCAAAGATAAAAATTTACTCTTACAAATATAAAAAAAAGGGGGGGAAGAAAGAAAGTAATTTTCCAGAAAAAAAGTTAAAAATTTGAATAATATCATTTATAATTAAAAAAATAGCTTTCCATATAGTATTAATAATTATTTATTACACATCATTGTGGGGAAAAATTCATGTAATTAATTTTCGGTAAAAATTTATTTGAAATTTAAGGTTAAAAATAGCTGCGGCAATTCACTAACAAAATCCATAAACCACATTTGGCATTATTATCGCTCAAAAAAAGATGCCCAATTTCAAAACTCGCCAATATGTAAATTCGTATATATCTTAGAATAAAAAACTCTAATTTTTTGCAGGTATGCTTAGAAATACACCTACTTTAAAGGTGATAGTAAAACTTTTATAGGTTACAATACAAAAATATTTTCGAAAAATTAAAAAAAAATTATTTAAGAATACAAGTTTTAAAAACAAATCATAAAAAATGAGTGAATTTTATTTGGAATGAACCTATATTTCGAAATGTGAAAGAAAAAATAAAAAAAAATTAATAAAAAAAGAGATATTAATAAATATATACCAAATTCAATTAACACTGAGGAGTTAAAATTTTGAGAACTAATTTTTTAAAAACTACTCATGGAATTTTTGCAAAACTTGGCAGTCTGGCATAATTTGAGTCACAGAATCGTAATATCGAAAAAATATTGGTATATTATTTTAGAAAAGTCCGATTTTGTGTCAAAATACCTATGTTAGAATAGTGCTATACATAAATCTAATACAGTACAAAGTCCGTAATCCAGACACGTCGGGACTTCGGCGATTCCGGATTAGGGGTTTTTCCGGATTATAGATTATCAATTTAAATCTGGTAAGATGGCATGCAGAAATTATACAATTAAAAATATGAAACCGTAATTTATGAAATAAAGAGCAATTATGATCTAAAAGGTATTAAATTTTACAAAAAAAAAAGCTTAATATTTATTTATTTACTTTATTAAACATTTTTTTTCAACATGTGCATGCATAAAGTTTGTGGCTTTGAGGTCCAGATTATAGATCATTCCGGACGATAGCCGTCCGGATTCGGGCTTTGTACTGCATATATTTTAAGTGGTGCTTTCGAGACATGAAAAATGCAATTTGAATTTCATCAATCGGCCCAGTAGAATGAGAAATATAGAACTGTCCCATTTTATTTTTTTCCCCCCTCGCAGTGTACATCTTTATAGAATGTAAATTTTTGTATCCTCTATTATTGGGGAAAATAGCATATTTCTGAAGAAATGCAATGTTTTCTTTCTTTCCCTTTTTAATCAACTGGGTAACTCTACAATCTCATTACAATTAATTATCATAAAAACAAATGCATTCACTGTAAA